TCGCGCGCGCGACATGTGACTCGACACGTGCGACCTGAGCCGGGTTGGGGACGGAGGTGAGCGAGCGAACAGCCAAGGGGGAGAGAGAGAGAGTTACAATACAGCACGACTAGTCTACAGCACGACTAGTCTACAGCACGACTAGTCTACAGCACGACTAGTCTACAGCACGACTAGTCTACAGCACGACTAGTCTACAGCACGACTAGTCTACAGCACGACTAGTCTAAGCCGACTAGTCACAGCACGACTAGTCTACAGCACGACTAGTCTACAGCACGACTAGTCTACAGCACGACTAGTCTACAGCACGACTAGTCTACAGCACGACTAGTCTACAGCACGACTAGTCTACAGCACGACTAGTCTACAGCACGACTAGCAACTACAACACCACCACGACTAGTCTACAGCACCACGCCCAGCGACTACAACACCACGACTAGCAACTACAACACCACAACTAGACTACACCACCACGACTAGTCTACAGCACCACGCCGAGCGACTACAACACCACGACTAGTCTACACCACCACAACTAGTCTACAACACCACGCCGAGCGACTACAACACCACAACTAGTCTACAGCACCACGCCGAGCGATTACAACACCACCACTAGTCTACACCACCAACAGACGAGAGACTACGACAACAGCAGCAGCGGCAGCATGTCCAAGAGGCGCGTGCGCTGGATCGCCGAGCTCGCGGAGCGCGTGCGCGAGGTGTGGGCCGTGTCGCGGCGGCAGCCCGACAGCGTCCGCCACGCGCTCGACCCCTCCACGATGCGGCGGCCCCACACGGGCCGGCGGCTCCCGGCGCGCGCCTGGGCGGACGCGGCGCGCGAGTCGCGGCTGCCCGCGCTGCTGGGCGCGGCGCGGCGCACGGGCCTCGGCCGCCTCGCCACGCGCGCCTCGTGGGCGGCGCTGCGCGGGGACGGCGCCGCGTGCTGCTGGCGCGTGACGGCGGTGCGCCTCGACTACACGGCCAGCGTGCGTGAGGCGCCTCGCACTCGCACGCAACACCACCACGCCGCGTGCCACACCACGCCGCGTGCCACACCACGCCGCGTGCCACACCACGCCGCGTGCCACACCACGCCGCGTGCCACACCACGCCGCGTGCCACACCACGCCGCGTGCCACACCACACTGTGTGTGCGTGCCACGCACATCTGTGTGTGCCTATGTGTCGTGCACCGAATACATTCGTAACACAGTTCGTTACGCATAGAGTTGTGGATATAATTTACGTTGCACTTTCGCAGCGTACGTAACCAATCGTGATAATCGGAAGTCTGTGTCATGTATATGCACGCGTAGCACGCATGCACGTGTGTGATGAGATGCACGCATGCACGTGTGTGATGAGATGCACGCATGCACGTGTGTGATGAGATGCACGCATGCACGTGTGTGATGAGATGCGCGCATGCACGTGTGTGATGAGATGCGCGCATGCACGTGTGTGATGAGATGCACGCATGCACGTGTCGGATGAGATGCACGCATGCACGTGTGTGATGAGATGCACGCATGCACGTGTCGGATGAGATGCACGCATGCACGTGTGTGATGAGATGCACGCATGCACGTGTCGAATGAGATGCACGCATGCACGTGTCGGATGAGATGTACGCATGCACGTGTGTGATGAGATGCACGCATGCACGTGTCGGATGAGATGCACGCATGCAAGTGTGGAATGAGATGCACGCATGCACGTGTCGGATGAGATGCACGCATGCACGTGTCGGATGAGATGCACGCATGCACGTGTGTGATGAGATGCACGCATGCACGTGTCGGATGAGATGCACGCATGCACGTGTGTGATGAGATGCACGCATACACGTGTCGGATGAGATGCACGCATGCACGTGTGTGATGAGATGCACGCATACACGTGTCGCATGAGATGCACGCATGCACGTGTCGGATGAGATGCACGTGTCGGATGAGATGCACGCATGCACGTGTGTGATGAGATGCACGCATGCACGTGTTCCATGAGATGCACGCATGCACGTGTGGGATGAGATGCACGCATGCACGTGTGGGGTGCGATGCACGCATGCACGTGTCCGATGAGATGCACGCATGCACGTGTGGGATGAGATGCACGCATTCACGTGTTCCATGAGATGCCTGCATACACGTGTCCGATGAGATGTACGTGTCGCATGTTTCTGTGCAGGATCTGGACCATGGGAAAGCGTGGGGCGTCCTCACCTTCCAGGGTGAGCCGTGCAATGCGGTTGCACAAATCTACCCACGCGCCCAGCCAGTGTTGTTCATCTGCTGCTGGATAATGGTTATTTGACCATACCTCAGTCGGTGAAGGTGGGGGAGGCGAGACTTGGAGCATAGTGCAGGACAACTATGGGTTTGCTGCAAGTACTGCCCTCGAAAGTCGATCCATCCAATGCATGGTGGTCGCTAATAAATGAAAAAAAAACACTTTCCAGACTCAATCTTGCTTAGCCTCAGAGTTTTGCAGAGATCGGGCGCGTTGCGGATGATTTGGCATGCAGACCTGTCACTTGATTTCTCTCGGTCCACATGAAGCCGACGATTTCAAAACAGTCGGCTACATTTGCCCGTCAATGCAAGCATTCTATCCGCACTGGTTGGGTACTGGAGGGGGGAAATGTTCGATCTGTCGACGCTTTGTTTCTATCCTTAGTACATCAAGTCGCTTCTCTTACTGCAAGGGCCTTTTAGTGGTGACGCAAGCGACGTGTGTGTGTGTCAGTGAGTGGTTACCCGTCAGAGGGTAATTTGGGATATTTTCAAAGACCTATTTGGCCCTCGGTGAGGAAAATATGCTCCACCCGAGACGTCCATTATGATGTGTTCGCGCTGTGTGATGTGTTCTCTGTGTGTGACGTGTTCTCTATGTGTGTGTGTGTGTGATGTGTTCTCTATGTGTGTGTGTGATGTGTTCTCTATGTGTGTGTGTGATGTGTTCTCTATGTGTATGTGTGATGTGTTCTCTATGTGTGTGATGTGTTCTCTATGTGTGTGTGTGATGTGTTCTCTATGTGTGTGTGTGATGTGTTCTCTATGTGTGTGTGTGATGTGTTCTCTATGTGTGTGTGTGACGTGTTCTCTATGTGTGTGTGTGATGTGTTCTCTATGTGTGTGTGTGACGTGTTCTCTATGTGTGTGTGTGATGTGTTCTCTATGTGTGTGATGTGTTCTCTATGTGTGTGTGTGACGTGTTCTCTATGTGTGTGTGTGATGTGTTCTCTGTGTGTGTGTGTGACGTGTTCTCTATGTGTGTGTGTGACGTGTTCTCTATGTGTGTGTGTGACGTGTTCTCTATGTGTGTGTGTGATGTGTTCTCTATGTGTGTGATGTGTTCTCTATGTGTGTGTGTGACGTGTTCTCTATGTGTGTGTGTGACGTGTTCTCTATGTGTGTGATGTGTTCTCTATGTGTGTGTGTGATGTGTTCTCTATGTGTGTGTGTGACGTGTTCTCTATGTGTGTGTGTGATGTGTTCTCTATGTGTGTGTGTGATGTGTTCTCTATGTGTGTGTGTGACGTGTTCTCTATGTGTGTGATGTGTTCTCTATGTGTGTGTGTGATGTGTTCTCTATGTGTGTGTGTGACGTGTTCTCTATGTGTGTGTGATGTGTTCTCTATGTGTGTGTGTGACGTGTTCTCTGTGTGTGTGTGATGTGTTCTCTATGTGTGTGTGTGTGATGTGTTCTCTATGTGTGTGTGTGTGATGTGTTCTCTGTGTGTGTGTGTGACGTGTTCTCTATGTGTGTGTGTGTGACGTGTTCTCTATGTGTGTGTGTGTGATGTGTTCTCTATGTGTGTGTGTGATGTGTTCTCTATGTGTGTGTGTGATGTGTTCTCTATGTGTGTGTGTGATGTGTTCTCTATGTGTGTGTGTGATGTGTTCTCTATGTGTGTGTGTGTGATGTGTTCTCTATGTGTGTGTGTGATGTGTTCTCTGTGTGTGTGTGTGACGTGTTCTCTATGTGTGTGTGTGTGACGTGTTCTCTATGTGTGTGTGTGATGTGTTCTCTATGTGTATGTGTGATGTGTTCTCTATGTGTGTGTGTGTGATGTGTTCTCTATGTGTGTGTGTGATGTGTTCTCTATGTGTGTGTGTGATGTGTTCTCTATGCGTGTGTGTGTGTTCTCTATGTGTGTGTGTGATGTGTTCTCTATGTGTGTGTGTGACGTGTTCTCTATGTGTGTGTGTGATGTGTTCTCTATGTGTGTGTGTGATGTGTTCTCTATGTGTGTGTGTGATGTGTTCTCTATGTGTGTGTGTGTGTGTTCTCTATGTGTGTGTGTGATGTGTTCTCTATGTGTGTGTGTGACGTGTTCTCTATGTGTGTGTGTGATGTGTTCTCTATGTGTGTGTGTGATGTGTTCTCTATGTGTGTGTGTGACGTGTTCTCTATGTGTGTGTGTGACGTGTTCTCTATGTGTGTGTGTGACGTGTTCTCTATGTGTGTGTGTGATGTGTTCTCTATGTGTGTGTGTGACGTGTTCTCTATGTGTGTGATGTGTTCTCTATGTGTGTGTGTGTTCTCTATGTGTGTGTGTGTGATGTGTTCTCTATGTGTGTGTGTGACGTGTTCTCTATGTGTGTGTGTGATGTGTTCTCTATGTGTGTGTGTGACGTGTTCTCTATGTGTGTGATGTGTTCTCTATGTGTGTGTGTGTGTTCTCTATGTGTGTGTGTGTGACGTGTTCTCTATGTGTGTGTGTGACGTGTTCTCTATGTGTGTGTGTGACGTGTTCTCTATGTGTGTGTGTGACGTGTTCTCTATGTGTGTGTGTGTGACGTGTTCTCTATGTGTGTGTGTGTGACGTGTTCTCTATGTGTGTGTGTGACGTGTTCTCTATGTGTGTGTGTGACGTGTTCTCTATGTGTGTGTGTGACGTGTTCTCTATGTGTGTGTGTGACGTGTTCTCTATGTGTGTGTGTGTGATGTGTTCTCTATGTGTGTGTGTGTGATGTGTTCTCTATGTGTGTGTGTGACGTGTTCTCTATGTGTGTGTGTGATGTGTTCTCTATGCGTGTGTGTGACATGTTCTCTATGTGTGTGTGTGATGTGTTCTCTATGTGTGTGTGTGACGTGTTCTCTATGCGTGTGTGTGACGTGTTCTCTATGTGTGTGTGTGACGTGTTCTCTATGCGTGTGTGTGACGTGTTCTCTATGTGTGTGTGTGATGTGTTCTCTATGTGTGTGTGTGACGTGTTCTCTATGTGTGTGTGTGATGTGTTCTCTATGTGTGTGTGTGACGTGTTCTCTATGCGTGTGTGTGATGTGTTCTCTATGTGTGTGTGTGTGACGTGTTCTCTATGTGTGTGTGTGACGTGTTCTCTATGTGTGTGTGTGTGTGTTCTCTGTGTGTGTGTGTGACGTGTTCTCTATGCGTGTGTGTGACGTGTTCTCTATGTGTGTGTGTGATGTGTTCTCTATGTGTGTGTGTGACGTGTTCTCTATGTGTGTGTGTGTGTGTTCTCTGTGTGTGTGTGTGACGTGTTCTCTATGCGTGTGTGTGACGTGTTCTCTATGTGTGTGTGTGACGTGTTCTCTATGTGTGTGTGTGTGTGTTCTCTGTGTGTGTGTGTGACGTGTTCTCTGTGTGTGTGTGTGACGTGTTCTCTATGTGTGTGTGTGATGTGTTCTCTATGTGTGTGTGTGACGTGTTCTCTATGTGTGTGTGACGTGTTCTCTATGTGTGTGTGTGTGTGTTCTCTGTGTGTGTGTGTGACGTGTTCTCTATGCGTGTGTGTGACGTGTTCTCTGTGCGTGTGTGTGACGTGTTCTCTATGCGTGTGTGTGACGTGTTCTCTGTGCGTGTGTGTGATGTGTTCTCTATGTTTGTGATGTGTTCTCTATGTGTGTGTGTGACGTGTTCTCTATGTGTGTGTGTGACGTGTTCTCTATGTGTGTGTGTGATGTGTTCTCTATGTGTGTGTGTGATGTGTTCTCTATGTGTGTGTGTGATGTGTTCTCTATGTGTGTGTGTGATGTGTTCTCTATGTGCGTGTGTGATGTGTTCTCTATGTGTGTGTGTGATGTGTTCTCTATGTGTGTGTGTGACGTGTTCTCTGTGTGTGTGTGATGTGTTCTCTATGTGTGTGTGTGATGTGTTCTCTGTGTGTGTGTGATGTGTTCTCTATGTGTGTGTGTGATGTGTTCTCTATGTGTGTGTGTGATGTGTTCTCTATGTGTGTGTGATGTGTTCTCTATGTGTGTGTGTGATGTGTTCTCTATGTGTGTGTGTGACGTGTTCTCTATGTGTGTGTGTGATGTGTTCTCTATGTGTGTGTGTGATGTGTTCTCTATGCGTGTGTGTGATGTGTTCTCTATGTGTGTGTGTGATGTGTTCTCTATGTGTGTGTGTGACGTGTTCTCTATGTGTGTGTGTGATGTGTTCTCTATGTGTGTGTGTGTGTGTTCTCTATGTGTGTGTGTGATGTGTTCTCTATGTGTGTGTGTGTGACGTGTTCTCTATGTGTGTGTGTGTGACGTGTTCTCTATGTGTGTGTGTGTGATGTGTTCTCTATGTGTGTGTGTGACGTGTTCTCTATGTGTGTGTGTGATGTGTTCTCTATGTGTGTGTGTGATGTGTTCTCTATGTGTGTGTGTGATGTGTTCTCTATGTGTGTGTGTGTGTGTTCTCTATGTGTGTGTGTGTGTTCTCTATGTGTGTGTGTGATGTGTTCTCTATGTGTGTGTGTGACGTGTTCTCTATGTGTGTGTATGTGACGTGTTCTCTATGTGTGTGTGTGATGTGTTCTCTATGTGTGTGTGTGACGTGTTCTCTATGTGTGTGTGTGACGTGTTCTCTATGTGTGTGTGTGATGTGTTCTCTATGTGTGTGTGTGTGACGTGTTCTCTATGTGTGTGTGTGACGTGTTCTCTATGTGTATGTGTGATGTGTTCTCTATGTGTGTGTGTGATGTGTTCTCTATGTGTGTGTGTGATGTGTTCTCTATGTGTGTGTGTGTGTTCTCTGTGTGCGTGTGATGTGTTCTCTATGTGTGTGTGTGACGTGTTCTCTATGCGTGTGTGTGATGTGTTCTCTATGTGTGTGTGTGATGTGTTCTCTATGTGTGTGTGTGTTCTCTATGTGTGTGTGTGACGTGTTCTCTATGCGTGTGTGTGATGTGTTCTCTGTGCGTGTGTGATGTGTTCTCTATGTGTGTGTGTGATGTGTTCTCTATGTGTGTGTGTGACGTGTTCTCTATGTGTGTGTGTGACGTGTTCTCTATGTGTGTGTGTGACGTGTTCTCTATGTGTGTGTGTGTGTGATGTGTTCTCTATGTGTGTGTGTGACGTGTTCTCTATGTGTGTGTGTGATGTGTTCTCTATGCGTGTGTGTGACGTGTTCTCTATGTGTGTGTGTGATGTGTTCTCTATGTGTGTGTGTGACGTGTTCTCTATGTGTGTGTGTGACGTGTTCTCTATGTGTGTGTGTGACGTGTTCTCTATGTGTGTGTGTGTGTGACGTGTTCTCTATGTGTGTGTGTGACGTGTTCTCTATGTGTGTGTGTGACGTGTTCTCTATGTGTGTGTGTGTGTGTTTTCTATGTGTGTGATGTGTTCTCTATGTGTGTGTGTGATGTGTTTTCTATGTGTGTGTGTGATGTGTTTTCTATGTGTGTGATGTGTTCTCTATGTGTGTGATGTGTTCTCTATGTGTGTGTGTGATGTGTTCTCTATGTGTGTGTGTGACGTGTTCTCTATGTGTTCGATGTGTTCTCTATGTGTGTGTGTGATGTGTTCTCTATGTGTGTGATGTGTTCTCTATGTGTGTGTTTGATGTGTTCTCTATGTGTGTGATGTGTTCTCTATGTGTGTGTGTGATGTGTTCTCTATGTGTGTGTGTGACGTGTTCTCTATGTGTGTGATGTGTTCTCTATGTGTGTGTGTTCTCTGTGCGTGTGTGTGATGTGTTCTCTGTGCGTGTGTGTGTGATGTGTTCTTTGTGCGTGTGCGTGTGATGTTCTTTATGTGTGTATGTGTGATTTGTTTTCTATGTTTGTGTGTGTGATGTGTTCTCTGTGCATGTGTGTGTGATGTGTTCCCTATGCGTGTGTGATGTGTTCCCTATGCGTGTGTGTGTGACGTGTTCTCTATGCATGTGTGTGTGACATGTTCTCTATGCGTGTGTGTGTGACGTGTTTTCTATGCGTGTGTGTGATGTGTTCTCTATGCGTGTGTGTGACGTGTTCTCTATGCATGTGTGTGTGACATGTTCTCTATGCGTGTGTGTGTGACGTGTTTTCTATGCGTGTGTGTGATGTGTTCTCTATGTGTGTGTGTGACGTGTTCTCTATGTGTGTGTGTGTGATGTGTTCTCTATGTGTGTGTGTGTGATGTGTTCTCTATGTGTGTGTGTGATGTGTTCTCTATGTGTGTGTGATGTGTTCTCTGTGCGTGTGTGTGATGTGTTCTCTATGTGTGTGTGTGATGTGTTCTCTATGTGTGTGTGTGATGTGTTCTCTATGTGTGTGTGTGATGTGTTCTCTATGTGTGTGTGTGTGTGTTCTCTATGTGTGTGTGTTCTCTGTGCGTGTGTGTGTGACGTGTTCTCTATGTGTGTGTGACGTGTTCTCTATGTGTGTGTGTGTGATGTGTTCTCTGTGCGTGTGTGTGTGACGTGTTCTCTATGTGTGTGTGTGACGTGTTCTCTATGTGTGTGTGTGTTCTCTATGTGTGTGTGTTCTCTGTGCGTGTGTGTGTGACGTGTTCTCTATGTGTGTGTGTGATGTGTTCTCTATGTGTGTGTGTGACGTGTTCTCTATGTGTGTGTGTTCTCTGTGCGTGTGTGTGTGACGTGTTCTCTATGTGTGTGTGTGATGTGTTCTCTATGTGTGTGTGTGACGTGTTCTCTATGTGTGTGTGTGACGTGTTCTCTATGTGTGTGTGTGACGTGTTCTCTGTGTGTGTGTGTGATGTGTTCTCTATGTGTGTGTGTGATATGTTCTCTATGTGTGTGTGATGTGTTCTCTATGTGTGTGATGTGTTCTCTATGTGTGTGTGTGACGTGTTCTCTTTGCGTGTGTGTGACGTGTTCTCTATGTGTGTGTGTGACGTGTTCTCTATGCGTGTGTGTGACGTGTTCTCTATGTGTGTGTGTGACGTGTTCTCTATGTGTGTGTGTGACGTGTTCTCTATGTGTGTGTGTGACGTGTTCTCTATGTGTGTGATGTGTTCTCTTTGCGTGTGTGTGATGTGTTCTCTATGTGTGTGATGTGTTCTCTTTGCGTGTGTGTGACGTGTTCTCTATGCGTGTGTGTGACGTGTTCTCTATGTGTGTGATGTGTTCTCTTTGCGTGTATGCTGTAAAATTACCTGGGTGCCTGTGCTTCCATCCTGCAGGCAAGACCGAGGGAGAGGCCCGCGAGATCGAGCAGGCCATGTACCACGACTGGCGGCTCATCCCGCGGCACGAGGAGGCGGCCTTCATGGCGAGATGCGTCCCGGCCCCCCAGGAGGAGGACACGGGCCCCCGGCTGGTCCCCTTCCCGCCGCTGCTGCGAGCCATGGTCCTCGCGCGCGCTGCCAAGGAGGGTCGCGAGCAGAGCGAGCCGATGCTCGATCTCGCTTTGGTGTCGCTCGGCAAGCAGCTGCAGCAGCAGAGGGAGGCCAGGTTGAAAGGCAGATGCCTGTAGGTAGGCGAGGAGCGTCGTCAAATGTGTAGGCATTTTTTAGTTCATCAACGTCATGGTCTTGCCTGAATATTTGTGATTTCCACGAGCCCTCTGGTTAAACGTATGTACTGGATGTCCTCTGATCTGGAAAATAGTCTGGTGTAATATTTTTTAATGAACAAACGTCAATGTTCCTGAGCCTTCTGGTATAATAGTAATAATGTGTGCTTATATGTATGTGCTTGGAATGGTTCAAAATAGGGACATGTTGCACCTATGTAATATACTTTACACTTGAATAAATAGTAACTGAGAAACTGATGTCTTAATAGTATTGTGTTCATTAGCTGATCTCACACGTCGGCATGTGTGGTCAGCCTGAGTGATGATGTGATATAATCTGCCAGTAGGTGGTAGTGTTTGCTTGTTTCATTGATGTGTGTGGTACTGTGTTTAGTCGTTTTCATTCCTTAATACTCTAAAAAAGCATCTTTTTCCCTTTTCTTTAGCTTTTAATTTAGGGATGCTATTTTTTTGAGTAAGCCAGATATGGTCGCTTTATATGTAGTTTTGTATTGGTCTGCATAAAAGGCTAACATCGACTAATCAATACCTTCCAAGTTCATATGGGTAAGGTGTATGGTTAACAGTGTTTAAATGTTGAGTTTATTGAATGTCTACTCTCTCTGAGAGCTGTACTTATTCCCCGAATAGTCGTGCTCAAGCACAAGTCACGTGTCAAAGAACTAAGTGTTGGCTGCAAGTTGCCGAGTCCAGTTGAAGATTGATACGAGAAATGAATGTCATCCATTCGCATTAACTGCAGTGGTATACAACAATCATCGTAGGTGAGAATATCAATGTGGCTTTATATTACAGCTCAAAACTAGTTTTATATTCTGAGTTTTAAGCAGATGCATCTTAAAAGTGCAAGTGGCCCAGCGGGAGAGTGATCGGCTCGCATACAGAGAGTTGCGGGTTCAAATCCTGGTTGGAGGTTGACTCATCCCATCATACCTCTGGGGTCAATAAAATTAGTACCACTTTGTGGGGAAGTCAACAGTAGTTGTCATGGAGGGATGTACCTCTACCGTTGGAATGTGGAGTCTCCACCACTGACTGTAAACAGATGAGCACTGCTTCACTGCTCATATGGGCAGATAATCATGATCTTACGTCTGCACTGTGCGTGGACTGCATGTGCTCATACCTCCTCCTTGGACACCCTGCCGCCACTGATCTGACTTCTGATCAGGCACTTTGAAAGTGTTTTATTGTTACACATGTTTATCTAGGAGACTTCGCTGAGTCTCAAGAATATCTTTAAAGATGTTCGTGCCAAATTGTGCACGAGGCGATGTAGCTATGTGTAAGTCCAAATGAGTAATTTGCAGGAAATTTGTTTCCATTGGGATGTTTGGCAAATGCCGGTTACGTTGATATTTTTTAGCTCTCGCAGGAAACGCAAGCACCCAGAGGAAACCCGTGCAGAACAAGGGAGAACATGCGTACTCCACACAAAGGCAACGGAGGCAGGAGTTTATTGTAGGCCCTTGCTGTGAGGCACAAGTGTTACTGCTGCACCACCCTTCCACTGAAATAATAGCAGCCTTATTGAAATTAACATGGAAAAAGCTGCCCAAAATCTTTCAATGCTGTAACAGTTTATTTTGTCTCATCCTATTCTCGATTTTGTTCAGACGATGTGCAGACAGCATGTTTACTGGGAATGCCAAACATGGGATTCAAGAGACTCGGGACAAAATGTTCGAGTTATGATATTTTGCTTTTCATAATATTATTTGCGTGATATCAAAATACATCCTGAAATGAAATATCATTTAGATGTCATAGACTTTATTTTGGCTATCAAATAGAGTTTTAAAACCTAACTTTAAAGCCATTCCCCAGATGGACTGGTGCATGGGATAATACACATTTCTGGAAGTAGCATTTAAAACATTTCTGGAGTAAAAAAGATTAATTAGTCAGGGTTAGAGTAACCCCTATAGCCCTGGTTCTTCGTCCCTTAAGGATCAAATTTGAAGGCGTAATCTTGCGCCCGTTTTTGTTTCTACTTAGTATTTGTTAAAAATTGCGTACATGGAACATAATTGGAAGTTGATGTGACTTTTTTCCATTCATTGAAGGCATGAAAGAGGGAGCAGTGGCAAAGTGATTAGTACACTGCGCCGCGAACCCGATCTCTGTTCGTTTCTCAGCCACGGCTCACGTCGGTGGTGAGTGAAGTATCTGAACCAGTCCTGGGTTCCTCCCCAACCTTCAATCCCCGCTGACCAGCATGGTGAAGTATGATCACACAACCCCAATGCGGCATGGGGAGGCCTTTATCTAGCAGTAGATTGACAACGAGCTTTATATCAACATTTTTGTGGGGCTCAGTCAAAATAATACTAGACTTTTGTTAATGCCACTCGTTATATTACTCTGTTATGTTAGAGTTTGCCCCCTCCAGTTATTTAATCAACTAGCCTTTTGCCCGTCCAAGGACGGGTGTATTTAAGTAAATCTGAAACTTGCAAATAAAAAGCAGACCGCGACGTGATATTCATTGCATCCATTCGTGTGCGATTTGTAAGGCCGCGGTGACACACACATTTCATTTAAAGGTTATAATCTCTTAGTCATCATGACGTCCTTTTTACTTATATGTCTCAATACCGTTAAGGAGATCGCGTGACGTGAGGGTTCTGCATTTGTCGTGAGGGTTGTAAGTTGACGCCGAGGAGGGGGGAGGAGGCGCCTCGCCCCCCATGTGGAGTGACGTCAGCTGCTAATTATTATTAATGGGGGGTGTCCATTTGGAAGACGTCACCTCTTCATGATTATTAATGAGGGGGGCTGTTCGATGTGGAGTGACGTTACTTGCTCAATATTAATGAGGGGGGGGGGAGTGCTACATGTGGAATGACGTCACCCGCTCATGATTATTAATGAGGGAGGGGATCCATGTGGAGGACGTCACCTGTTCATGATTATTAATGAGGGGGGCTGTTCGATGTGGAGTGACGTTACTTGCTCAATATTAATGAGGGGGGGGGGGGGTGCTACATGAGGAGTGACGTCACCCACTCATGATTATTGAGGGAGGGGATCCATGTGGAGGACGTCACCTGTTCATGATTATTAATGAGGGGGGCTGGCCGACGTGGAGTGACGTCACGCGCGGGACACACAGACATTCTTGGCTCATTATAGTAGTAAATTATTTAGTCTACTGATAGTTGGCTTGACTACATAAATTGTATACCGAAAAGTTGGTCAAAAAAGTCACCTCTTCTCACGTGTGTCGCTGGACGGGAGGTGACGGGTGTTGCTTGGTGAGGTCACCGGTTGGGTCGTGCTGGGTGTGGCCTGAAGGGGGTTACCCACCTTCGGGAGGCAGGATGTGGGGGATGGCCACCATGTTTAAAGGGCCTGGGCAATTGATCACAAGACGTAGTCGATTACAATTTTTAGTCATTTGACTTGATGAATGGTCCCAGCTCTACTCTTTTTTTAAAGTTGAGAATAAATGTCACGTTTGTGTTAGGAGCCTTGAAACAGTACACTATGCCCGACACTTGCAAATACTGGAGTCGTAAACGTATACACTTTTCAGCTTAGACTGTGCTTTGGGAATACCTTGCAGAAGTTGTCAGAGAAGTGCGAATCGGAGTGTGGATTCTTGCGTCTGACGAACCGCACAGATGTGCTGACTGACGCAGAAGAGCGCGCGATCTGACAGCTCACCTGGTTGCCCAGGTGACAGTTTAAGTCAGAGGCTGAATACATGAAAGCCTTAGGTAGGGTAAATATAAAGAATGTAACTATGAAAATGTATTGATATATTAATTGCAATTTAATACATAATGCATTATATGCATGAGAAAATAATCATTAACGTTGAAAACATATTTCTTGTGTGATGGACCGGTTTTGAAATCCAGTATCTCATCAGTGGAGTCAGGCTCACTTGAACCAATGCTAGTGAACTGCCAAATGTTTACAGGTAGCTATGGGTCCTAGTCTTACGCAAAACTACGTCATACATAACATTCCGCGTCAACAAAATATATGTTGAGACAAGGCTCTTGGGAAGGTTTCATCGTCTAATGGGGTTTGCACTTAGAAATAGTTTAAGTTAGACGTGCCATTTTATATATCACATCCTGCTAGGTACTAAGTGATGGCTGCTGCCTTTGCCTTGCTTTTGCTAACAGTTCTTAAATCGACCCATGTTATGTAAATATGTATTTTGGAAGAAGTATATATAAAGGAAATTTAGCAGAATGATGGTGACGAATTCTGTAGCCCTTCTTCACAAGCATTTAACTTGATTGGGGGGGAACCATTAACTAATCTACTTACCTTGATGGGACTAGTGCAAGAAATCAACATGAACATCAATATCTTAGATTTTGTGGGCTTTTTCGCTTTTGTGGATTATTCAGCATAATTATTCAATTTCTGATAGTGTGTTTGTGATGTTCTTGAAAATTATACTTTTTAAAAATACATTCCTGCCCAAATGCATACCCAATCTGTTTAATTTTCTCACCAAATATAGACTCACTGGCCGTGTGCTGTGTAAACTAGTACGCGGTAAAACAGGCGGTTTGAATCCAGATGTGCCCTTAGGTGCTTTGCCATCTTGTGTGGTGAGGAAGCATTATTGCTTTGGATTAGATGGGATACATTAACAATTCCATGCTCATTTTAGCTGAGTGGAAGCTATTTTACCATGTTATAATGTCAAGTTTTTAAATGGAATTTCTCCTCCCTGTAAACACATGTTTTTATATTCGTTACTCAGAGAAGGGTATGACTAAAATGTTTGGTCTTGCATTGTTTGTCTCTAAATATGACACGTGACCAATAAAAGCAGCGATACAAATAACTGCAACCGACCTCTCGTGACGGCAACCCCTGAAGTCCGAAGCCAAGTACATATGCGAGAAACGATTTGGTTCAAAACAAGAATGGGGTCCAACCAATAACTTTGTATTTCTCATCATTTGTGAATCATAAGCCAAAATCGAAACGTTTTTTTCCCCATTTGGGAACGAAAAACTTTTCGGCCACATTTGGAATAGAGACAGAAAAACAGGCACGAAGACGAAGAGATCGAGACACAGACATTGACATTCAGAGCGAGACAAACCGGGATAGAGAGACAGACAGAGGGAGAGAAAGAGATGGAGACAAAGACGGGGGAAATAGATATACCGAGAGATAGATCAAGTCTTTCAGTCAATTTCCCTCCAATGTTGACACTGTGAGCAAAATGTATTTTCAGGGCATTTAAATGCGACTGCATGTCAAGGCACTCTGCAGAACCGTGAGCGTGTTTTTGTAGAGAGGCAGTCATCCTGCCAAACGTTGGAATTTGTGCACAGAAATTAAATTGCGCACAGAATTTTGGTTACGAATGGCCATACGTCCAAAATCAATAAACAAAACAAAGGGAAATACAGTATTCAAT